TATCTATCTATCTATCTATCTATCTATCTATCTATCTATCTATCTATTTTACGTTTTTCAAGACAATGTTTTTCTGTGTAGCCCCGGGTGTCTTAGAACTTCTTCCTCTGTAGCCCAGGTTGGCTCCAAGCTCAGAGATCCACCTGTCTCTTTAATGCTGAGTGCTGGGATCAAAGGTGCATGCCACCCCCACCCTGGCTGAGAACTCTTTTTAAAAATCGTTAAAATGTGCTTGTGTGGTGATGCTTGCCTTTAATCCTGGCATTCAGGAGGCAGAAGCAAGCATTCGGAGATCTCTGAGCTCAAGGCTGGTCTAACCCTAAATTTTATTCCAGCCAATAATAATAATAATAATAATAATAATAATAATAATAATAATAATAATAATAAAAATAAAAGATTAAAGTAGGGGTTAGAGCGATGGCTCAGTGGTTTGGAACATGCCCTCATGGCCTGGGTTTCTCAGCACCTGTGTTTTGGCCCAGACCATCTGTAACTCCAATTTTAGGGAATACGGTATCTTCCGGTCTTTGGGGCTGCCAGGTGTGCATGTGGTTCACAGACATACACTCATGCGGAACACTCATACATTTTTTAAAGGTTAAGGTGAGTCACCACACCCAGCAGTGTTTACGTGGAGCTGGTGGAGGGGGCATGCTTGGGGACTCTTGGTGGGACTTTGCTGGATAGAGCTGTGCAGCTCTGGCACTTGTGGGTCTTACCATGCTCTGCTTGACCTTTCTCCACAGGGAACAAGTCAGACCTTGCCGATTTCCGGGAAGTTGCGCTGGCAGAAGCACAGAGCCTGGCTGAGCACTATGACATCCTGTGTGCCATTGAGACCTCTGCCAAGGACTCCAGCAATGTGGAGGAGGCCTTCACCAGAGTGGCCACTGAACTCATTGTGAGGCACGGAGGCCCCATGTTCAGTGAGAAGAGTACCGACCACATCCAGCTGGACAGCAAGGACATTGCGGAGAGCTGGGGCTGTGGCTGCTGACTGGGGGGCAGGCCGGGCGCGCCAGGACCCCCCCACCTCCTTTGTCTTTAGCCTGTCAAGCCCCACCCTTCAGCTGGCCCTCGGGGCTCTGGCTTCTCTAGCGGGATTCTGGCCCCTGGCCTGGATGCTGGGTAGGAAGGGAGAAGCAGGGTATCCTGTGTGGAAGGCTATTGGCCCAGGGCAGGATGTGGACCATCCCGCCAGCCAGCATCTGCTCCTTCCGTGTTCTTCACATTCCAGGACTAGCCTGAGCCTTCCAGCATAGACTATGATGGGAAGCGGGCTGGCTGTGCTGCCCAGCCTTCCTCCCTCCCCCCTGCTGGTTTTGACCTTCTGCCTTGACTGCTGCAGCTGTGCTCCGGTTGCTGTAGAGCAGGGATGTGGCTGGTACCCTAGGTTCTTCCAGGTCATTCTCCAGCCTCTAACCAGAGTGTAAAAAGCACATCAATTAGACCAATAGACTGGTGCTGAGCCTTGTCCCTGGGAAGCCTGACTTGTCAGGTGGAAGCAGCACCTTCCCTCACTGCCAGCTTGGAGCTCTTAGCTCCCTGGGCCTGGCTCGCTGCCTTACCAAGACTTCTCCAGTTTGTCTGTTTTCCATGTAGCATCTCATTTTCACTGACACAAGTGTAGGGCCAGCTGGGGAGTGTCTGCTGGCTTAAGACCCAAAATGTTGCTGGGCAGGTTGCAAAAGCGGCTAATCTTTCAGTGTGGTTGAGGGGTGAGATAGGAAAGTGAACTTGTAAGGAAAAAAGAAGCAGCTTGCATGGGGCAGCTCATTGGTAGAGCATGAGCTCAACACTTGTCAGGACCTGGGTTCAGTCCATAGCACCAGAAAGAAACAAAACAGCAGCTTCTGTTCGGTCCCAGAGGCTGAGGTAGAGGGCCCTATGGACCCCAGCCTCACCCTGTGTGGAAAAACCTTCCCTGCCATAGCCAGAGCTTCTAGCTCCCCCTGCTCCTGGTCTGGCTTATAGTTTCAAAGCAAAAGTACCTGACACTTCACTGGTCCTGTGCCTGCCTTAACGGGTACTTCCTGCAGGGCTCAGGGATAATGCTGAGGTGCAGGAATTGAGCCAGGGGATGTTTCTAAGATGGTCCTAAACGCTTTATCAGCCCAGTCCTATGCCCTTCCACCGTCTCAGTATAGACACCACACACACATACGCACTCACACAAAATGAAGAGACTGCTTTTAGATCCACAGGGAAGGCCTCAGCAGCAGCGGGCCCCCAGCCATTGCGTCAGGCTTAGTCTAATCAAGTCATGGATCAGGGTTTGTTTCCTTCATCTCCCCTCTCACTGGCACCCTGCCCTTGTCTCCCATCTCAAGCATTCTGGTCTGTCGGCCCCTTTCCTTGGCAGATCTGGCCACCGGGCTGGAGGCAGGGCTTTACAACAACCACCTAGTGGTCTGGAGAGACAGAACTGTTGTCAACTAGAGTAACGGCACTAGACCCACTGGCCCCCTTTCAGGCAGGATTAGCTGAGCCTGGTTCCGATTGGGCGGAAGGTGGCCTGGGGGAACCAGGGCCTGCTCTGAGTGCTTCTCAGGTGGGGATCATGGGGCTGGGCTGGGTAGGAGCCGACTGCTTTTCCTGGGGCTCACAAAGTCAAGAGGGTCCTGCTTGTTGGTTTCAGTTGGCTCAGACTCTTGGCAGGGAGAGCTGGTTCCTTCCCTAAGTCCTCTGCTGCAGAGCCTGGCTACCTATGGGTGGATAGTGCCTGTCACTGAGAGTGTTCTTCGCACTACGCATGGTCCTCGGAGCCATCTGGCATCTGTGGTTCCATCAGTAGATTCTGTGGGGCCGATGTTTCCAGGGCCAATCAGGAAGCTCTTTTGCTTGGTGACGTGGAGCTTGCCAGGTCTTGGGTTTGCGTCTGTTCAAATGGAAGTCCCAGTTTCAGGATATGTCTGTCCATCCGAGCCACTGACCCTGCCATAGCTACCCACTACTACCCAGCAAGCCTTGCTCGTTAGCAATACCAGTGCTGAACCCAGTCAGAACATTGGGGCCCTTTCATCCTCAGGCCCTAGAGGAGGGAGGGCAGAGGCCTTTCGCTCTAGACAGATTTCTACCCTGTCTTTCACAAGATGGCCCTGACTTGTGGTGGGGCTTACTTGTCACCCTGGGCCACGAGCCCCCTTCCCAGCCTCCAAGGCAGTGTTTTTCAGCCTGTGGGTCACAACGTCTTTGGGTTGCCTAAGACCATGGGAAAACACAGATATTTACATTATGATTCATAACAGTAGCAAAATTACAGTTACGAAATCGCAACGGGATAGCTTTGTGGTTGGGGTTCGCCACAACATGAGGAACTGTATTAAAGGGTTCCAGCGTCAAGAAGGTTGAGAACCGCTGTCAGAAAGGCAGAACTAAGTAAACCCTGCCTAGCCCAGGAAGCCACCTTTATTGATGGCCTCTTGGCTTACCCAGCCACCAGGAAGATGATTTCATTCTCCATGCACAGGACTATCACCACACACTTCCTGGGGTGCTGAGGTGTACCTGAGGCCCTGCCCCGCGCCCTTGAGCAGGAGCAGCCCTCCTCTAAGAAAGCCCAAACACATTTCATCAAGCCCTGCACTCCCCTAGCCCTGCCCTGTAACCATCCTGTCTTCTCACTCTGGGTTCCAGTTCCACTGCCGGGTGTAGGTTGGAAGTTGAGGCCTGGGGCACTTACCCATGACCTTGGCCTCCACAGCCTGCCCACCTCTCTACTCACTGTCATGTTTGGGGCCAGTGTGGTCCCCCTCCCAAATCTCAGCCAATCTGCCTTCTCACAGCACAGGATCCCACACGTGACCCAAAGCACACATCTCTGAGGGGAGACAGCCCCTCCCCAGCCACAGGCCTTACCCCCAGATCCTGCCAAGGACACATTCTTCCCTTGATCCCAGATTCTGTGTCCTGAGAGGGCCCTGAATCATGGACTGAAGCTGGCTCCTGCAGAGAGGCTGCAGCCACAGTAGTGCCAAAGCTCTGGCCCTCTGCTGAGGCACCTGCTCCACAACAAGAGAGACCTCTGAGCCTTTGTCAGAAGGAGCCCAGAGCTTGAGGACCAGAAAACAGGCAAGTGTGAGAGTCAGGAAACACAACCAGCTGCTTTTCTTTCCCTGGGCAGCTTGGCTGCTAGCAGCCCAGGGTCTCTGGGGCAGCAGACATTTAATCCCTTCCCTTGTTTAAAAATTCTGAACAGCAGGAGCAGGTGGGGGTTGAATGCTGCTGGGGAGGGCAAGGGAGGACCCACAGAAAGGCTGGTGGGGCCGGGCTGACTGCAGCAGGAGTGGCACGAAGGGCTAAGGGTCTTGCCCACTAAAGGTACCAGAGAAGGGGCTCCATGTCTTTTTCGGGTGGAAGTCTGACCCCAGGCACACAGATCCCAATTTGGGGGAATCTGCAGGAAACCCCTGGTGCACACTGAATTGGTTGCCCTGTCCTAGGATGTTGCCAGTGGTGGGCCTCTAGCCAAACTCACCCCTTCAGCACCTAGATGGGCAGAATTGCCAGCCCAAGGATGCCATGCACATGGGTGGGGGGATTTTCACATTACCTATTTATGAATATGTAAGTCTTTCTATCAAATCTATTTTTGAAACATGAGAAGTTGCCTTTCTGGATGTCACAGAGCCAGTGTACAATTCAACCATTAAACATTTCTGTACTGACCGGTGCTCAGGCTTGGTCCTCTCACTCTGAGCATAGACCCTGGCTGGGTGGCCTTACCTGCCATGTCTTGTGGAATCTCTAGACTGGTCACTGATGGTTGGGTAGGTGGGCTGGTCTAGAGAAAGGGGCCTGACCAATACCTTTTCTCTGGGCCCTCTGAGCTAGAAGCAGTGAGAGGCTGGGCCACATCTCCACCAGGGGCAAGGATGACTTTGGGATTCTCCTGGATCCCACAGATGGGATCAAGTCATTGGGGAGGGCTCCTGGATGATGATGATGGCCAGGTCCATGAGGGAAGAGTCACACCCTCTTTACTGAACATAAAAGATCTCAGAGTTAATATTCTTACCAGAGTCCAGAAGACAGGAAGAAACAGCTGTGATTCTAAGTGGGGCCCAGATTGCTTGCTGCTCAGTTTATTAGTATCATAATTAAATACGTGACCCACAGGCCCATGAGTTGGTAGTTCGTTGAGATGACCTGAGTCTGTTTCTAGTCACGTATGGGGATTCTTTGCTGGTGGAGCTTTCGGGTATCTGGCTGTTGGCTTGTATTCCAAGAGGCCTAGAGGACCTGCTTGCCCTTCCAAGCCCAGCTCTGGGACAGTCTACCTGATAGTGTGGCTTGGGGCATGCCATTTCTGAAGGTCCCAGTTCCCACAAATGTAGGATCTGATTGGTCCAGTAGTATCCCAGAAGGCCCCAAGGAGCCCTCACAGTGCAGAACATAGGGCTCTGGAGGCCATGGCTTCCAGAAGGGACACATCTCAGAGAGAAGGAATATGTGTCTAGGGCAAGCAGAAGTGACATAGCCCACTGTGCCCACAAGATGCCAAACCCAGGGTTAGGCCTGCCTGAGATTGGCCACTTCAATGCCCCCCAAGGGGCTTAGATCTAAACTTATCTGTCCCCAGGATTCTTGGATGCCTCTGGCCACACACAGGAATGCTAAGACTATGAGGCAAACTTGACGAGTGCCAGGTGCAGTCTTGGATTTTAGTACACAGAAACAGGCCAGCGTCCATGAGGACTTTGGCGAAGCCCCAAGGTCTCTCCTGAGTCTGACTTGACCTACGTCTGGACTGAGTATGTGCCTGCCTGCCACCAAAGCTTCACTCTGAACCTGCCCTTTGCACACACAGCCTTGGCACAGTGGGTTCCGCTAGCTCTTCTCTTAGAGAGTGTCTGAGAGCACATTAGGCTCACCTTCCTTGCTCAGAACCTCATGGCCTCAGGGTCCTGAGAGGTGGAGCTTCGGACTCTGCTCACCTCCGGCATGGCTGCCTGCAGCCACATGGCTCTCCCATTCCAGCTGCTGAACAGCCCGCACACTCACTGTAGGATGGGCTTCTCCAAGCCGGGGGTTCCTGTTCCAAGCCTGCTTGGAATTCCACGTGCCCAAGGGATAAGCAGAACCCTGGTCAGTAGGGGTGAAGGTGCAGGAAAGGCACCAGCTGGCTTTTCCTGAGTTCAGTGGATAGGTAGATGTCTGCAGCAAGAGGGCCTTAGAGCCTTACCATCAGCTTGTGGAGAGCAGCCAAGCACCTTGGCAATAGCTTGGGTTGTTTGGGGGTTTCCTTGATGGCCAACAGCTCAGTTAGATGTAACCCATCTGCCCATTTCATTTAATGGCAAGGGATATCTAGTGGGGGGGGCGTTGTCTCCCCCATTATTTGGTGATTCCAATTTAGTTTTCATACACACTCTCTCTCTCTCTCTCTTTCTCTCTCTCCACACAAATGCACGTGCGTGCACACACACATTAGATGTCCAGAAGACCCCTCAAATGACCTTTAGTTTTATCTGTCCCTCCCCATATTCCCTCCCTGACCCCTTGACCCCTCTCCACTTGATCCTACTATTCCAGCGCCCCTAATCCATCCATAACTGTTTATTCTATTTTCCCTTTCTTTTGTAAAAGTTTGTTTATTTATTCTCTTTATATCCTGATTGCAGCCCTTCTCTCCTCCCAGTTCACCCCTGCATTTTCCCTTTCTGAGAAGGTTCTTTCCTCCTTCCTAGTCCTCCAGTGCTCTTAACCAATGAGCCATCTGTCTAGATTTTTTGTTTGTTTTGAGACATAGCCTTGGCCATCCTAGAACTCACTATGTAAACTGGACTGGCCTTAAATTCACAGCCTCTGCTTCCTGGATTAAAGGTATGTGCCACTGCCCCGACCTCCTCAGAAAGAATATTTAAATTTTTTCATTTGATAAATCCACATTACATTTTTTAATCATATTCTCTCCAAACTCTCCTTCCCTGTAGAACCCCGCAACATGTGCCCACTGAGCCCAAATAGTGCTGCCTGTAAGAGCATGGCCAGCCAGCATCCACACTGAAGGGCAATGACCCCTGCTCCCTGCCAGTCGGCACTGCCAGCAGCTCCTACGGGAGTGAGCTCGTCCCTCATGCACGATAGAATTCCTGACTGCCTTGGTCTCATGCAGGTAACTGTGGGTGCCGCAAGTGCACTTCCAGAAGACAGCTTTCACAGAATCCTCCCGACCTTCTGCTCTTGCATTCTTTCTGCCCTTTCTTTTGCAATGTTCCGTGAATACTGGGAAGGCTGACGTTTTGTTTAGGGTGGAACACTCACAGCCACTTATTTTCAAGTGTCTGGCCCAGCTGGGAGTCTGTGCACTGGCTGCTATTCATTGCAACAGGAAACTTCTCTGTGTGGCCTTGGCTGTCCTGGACTCACTTTGTAGACCAGGCTGGCCTCGAACTCACAGAGAACCACCTGCCTCTACCTCCTCAAGTGCTGGGATTACAGGCGTGCGTCACCAGGCTTGGATTTTTTTACTTGAGTGTGCGTGTGTGTGTGTGTGTGTGTGTGTGTGTGCACATGCGTGTGCATGGGAACACATGAGTGCAGATGCCAAAAGAGGCCAGAGGAGTCCAAGCCCCCAGCAGGTGGATTAACAGGCAGCTATGAGCTGCCTCACTTTGGTGCTGGGAACCGAACTCCAGTCCTCAGCAGAAACACTATATGCTCTCAACCACTGAACCATCTCTCCAGCATTTTCCTATATTTTATTGTAAAATCTATATAACAGAAGCAGGCAAAATACCCATAACACATAAAAGAAATAAATTTAAAAAATGTGTGCCCAGCATAGCAGTTTACCCATTTGCTCACGAGTGTGCGATTCTGCGGCGTTCTGGGCAGTTTTGTGTAGTGAGCACACGCTCTTCTTAGAACATTTCCGTCTTCCCACACTGAAGCTCCGTTCCCACCGACACGAATGGCCAGCCCCCGGCACTCACATTCTGCTAGGCTTTGTGAGTCTGACCCTTCTGGGGATCAGGTCACCTTGACTAGTTAGTGCTTCGCTTTTTTTTTTTTTTTTTGGCAGGGTTTCACTATGTAGTTCTGGGTAGCTTGGAAGTCACTGTATAGGACCAAGCTAACCTTTACTCACAAGTGCAGAGATTAAAGGAGTAGCCGCCTCCCCTTGTCTCCCTGTGAAGACAGTGAAAAGGCCCCCGCTGTTCCCTAGCACAGTACCTTGATCTTAGACTGGCCAGCCTTCTGAGCTGTGAGACAGCAGTTGAATTATCCAGCATCTCAGCTTTCCATTGCTGTGATGTAATGCCTGAGATGATCAGCTCAGGGAGAAGAGAGGCAGAGATGGCTTTCCTGGTGAAATCCTGAGCCTCAGTCTCCGGCAGCCACGTCACGCGGCAAGCATCAGGTGTGTGCTTGCAATCCCAGAGCTGGAGAGGAGAGACAGGAAGATCTCAATGAGACCTAGACGAGCTGGTGATCTCCAGGTTCAGAGAGACTCTAATTAAAAAAAATAAATGGCGGAGAGTGGCTAAGGAAGGCACTTAACATCAGCTTTTGGCCTTCACATGCTTGTGCACATATCTCTACATGTACATGAGCACACACAAACACATTCACTCATTAGACACACAAAAGGGGAGAGAGAGAGAAAAAAAAAAGAAGTGCTTAGGCCAATGGTTTCAGGTGTCTGAGCCTGTGTCGAGGCAGATCATGCCTCCACGATCTCCATGCCTGTGCTGGTGCTGCTCCCTCCTTGGTCTGGGAAGCCGAGATGGGTGTGTGTTTCAATACCTCCTCCACAGGCATGACCCTCCAAGCTTAGCCTCCTTTCCTCAGACTCCCTTTCCTGAAGGTTCTAGCCCTCTCTGCAGAGCCGAAGGCCAGGGCCTAAGCTTCCGGTTCATGGCCCTTTGGGAGACTTTGACCATCCAACCTGTAGCGTCTGGTCTGTGGTGAAACTGTCTCTGAGACCCTGGGGAAATCAAGCCTGATTCCTTCCTCATGAGGCTGGGGGCAGCTGGCAGGTTCTCCCTGGACAGACCCAGCTTGGCTAGCAGGCTGAAGGCCTTGTATGTGCACAAGAGTGCCAAGAGAGGCAGGGGTGGGATTTGCAGGCAGGAGGAGCTAGATTGTCCCCCATGATGGGGCTAGGGACGAAGGCCTTGGTTCTGGGATCTGTGAGTGCTCAGAAGATTTTCATTTCATTTCTTTTTCTTTTTTCGTCATTGAGACAGGGTCTCACTATGCAGCCCTGACAGCTCACAGGGAGCTGCTTGCCTCTGCCTCCTGAATGCTGGGATTAAAGGCCTGTGCCACCGTGTCAGGCTTCAGAAGTTTTTTTTTCTCCTTCTTCTTTACTTTTTATTCATAATCATAAACTTAATCTGCAATCCAGCTAGACTTGGAGGGGAATGAGGAAAATATGGAACCCAAAGAACTTCAGTGAGAGCAGAGATCACAGGGTACCCCAAGCAAATGGGACGGAGTGCCCTCCTGAGCTACAGAAGGAATGGTCTGCTGGGTAAGATGCCCACAAGTCAAAAGGATTAGAGTTGTCCACAGTTGGAAATCGTGATCTTCCTGCTGGTCTTGCCATTCCTGGACCCCAAAATCTCCATGGCTTCCACCATGTTCGTGCCTTTTTTCACCTTCCCGAAGACCACGTGCTTGCCAGCCAGCCACTCAGTGTTGGCAGTGCAGATAAAAAACTGGGGACAGTTTGTGTTTGGTCCAGCATTTGCCATGCACAAGATGCCAGGACCTGTGTGCTTCAGGATGAAGTTCTCATCCTCAAATTGCTCCCCATAGACGGACCTGCCGCCGGTGCCACTGTGGCGTGTGAAGTCACCACCCTGGCACATGAATCCTGGAATAATTCTGTGAAAGGAGGAACCCTTATATCCAAGTCCTTTCTCTCCAGTGCTCAGAGGACAGAAGTTTTCTGCTCTCTTTGGAACTTTGTAAACAGCTCAAAGGAGACATGGCCTAAGGGCTGGCCATTGGCCTCAGTGTCAAAGAACATGGTGGAGTTGACCATGGCTGCAGCAAAAGACGGCAGGGGACACCGGCGTCAACAAAGCCGCTTCAGAAGTTCTGATGAACCACTTCAGGCTTGTGAAGGGTCGTAGTGGCCTGTCTGCTAGTGGCCGGCTCTATGAGAGGGAGGGCTCCTTGCTAATAAAATACCTGAGAATGCCGCACATGAGGAGTTTCTCACAGGCCTCAGGCCCAGGGAGCAGATGCCATGTTCATTGTTACTCAGTGTCTATGTAACGGCTGATAACTGACACAGCAGCCAAGGCTCTCAGCCCCATGTGGGCAGTTACATTTCATTCATTCATTCATTCATTCATTCATTCATTCATTCATTCATTCTCTCTTTAAGGCAAGGCCTCACACTGTGATCTGGGCTAGGCTGGAATTCACTATGTAGCTCAGGCTGGTCTTGAACTTGCAGCAATCATCTTGCTTTAGTTTCCACAGTGCTGGGATTACAGGTATGGCCACTGTTTTTAAAGTCGGATTTGATTGCCAGTACTTAAAGAGCATGTGGCCTGTACCTTCCACCTCTGAAGCTCAGGGCTGGGCAGGGAAGGGACTCTTCTCAGTGGTATTGCCTGAGCCCCTTTGGGGGAAGCGCAGATTGTCTAGTTGTCACAGTCCCCACCACTCCCTATTGTCTCCTCCCTAAGCTTCTGGCTCTTGCTCTTTACTAGGTCCTGTGAGCCAGTGTCCTAGAGCAAAACTCTGTTCTCTTGGCCTTCCTTGAAACCTCTAACTCACAGCACCCCCCTGGCTGGTAATTATGGAACTTCAGGGAGTTCTGAGAGAGAAAGAGACAGAGAGAGACACGCACAGAAACTCAGAGGAGAGGAAGAGACAGAGAGAGACACAGAGATACACAGGAGAGACAGAGGAAAGAGAAAGGAAAGGAGAGAGGGAGACAGAGGCAGAGAGAGTTGTCCATGATGCGAATCTAATGATTATTACTTAGGGCGGGATGGGACTCAGAATTTGGAGGCTGTTGGGGGAAGAATTGTTTTCTCTTTTGCACAAAGAAACAGGTAGAGAGGAAGAAAAGGAAAGACATCAGGGGAGAAGCAAGGAGCCCCCAAGCTCAAATGCTGGTTGGAGGTCAGAGAGGAGCTGGGAAAAGCACAGGAAGATGCCCCCTCTTCCCTAGATCTTCAGTTCACTCTGCCCTACCTGCAGCTGTGCCCTGCCAGCTTTCTGTGCAGTCTGCATGGGGCCGAAGGACTGCGTGAGGTTGGCTGTTATGTGAAGCTGCTGGCAGAGGCTGTGAGAGCCTGCCCCAGGACCTGGCTCAGGATATCCAGGTCATGGAATTGGGGTGACTGAGTAGGAAGCCAGGTTAAAACAAAATGAACCTAGGTTTTTTTTTGTTTTTTTTTTTTTTTTTTGTTTTTGTTTTTTTAGAAAAAGCTAGACTTAAGAAAATTATTTTTGAGCACATAGAAAGAGGCCATGCAGTGGTTTATTGCTGTCTTTTAAAATTACATTTATTTTACTTGCTGCGCTTATACGGTCTGGGTGTGGAGGTGAGATTCAGTTCACTCCTATGATGTGGGTCCTGGGGATCAGGTCTTCAGGCTGGGCAGCAAGCATCACTGCCCACTGAATGATCTCACCCCCCCTTTGATGGCATGGTGCTTCTGTGGATGCCGCTCAGGTCTGGCCCCTGGCCTGGTTTAGGGGCTGCTAGGCTCAGTCAGGGACTCCGTGAATGTGTTCAGCAGGGCAGCCAGCAGACCCAGGCCTAGCACGGCCACAGCTACTAGTGCCACATCCCACAACACCCCCGAGTAGGCCCAGGATGGTGGCAGCTTCCAGCCACAGCTGCCCAGCTCATAGCCTGTCAGTTGGCCCAGCGGGCGCCTGGTGGCCAAGTCTGGGCTGGCGCAGTACACTTGTAGCAGGGCCTCGGGCATGCGGTCTTCCAGCCAGAGGCGCAGGTAGGTGAGGCTGCAGTCACAGTGCCAAGGGTTGTGTGTCACGCTGAGGTTCCACAGCTGAGGCATGTGGTCGAAGGCTCCTGGAGGCACTGAACGGAGGCTGTTGTTGGCCAGTAGGAGCTGGCGGGTGTGGGCTGGCAGCTCAGGCAGGGCTGTGAGGCCCCGCCCTTCGCAGTTCACCTTTAACCCCATGGTTTCCAAGGCCTGGCAGGTGCAGGGCCTGGGGCAGGCCTCGGTGGCTGTGGCCACAGGCCAGAGCAGAAACAGGAGCCCCCACATAGCCATCCAGCAGACAGGCTGTGGGCAGAGCAAAGAGATCCTGTCAGCCTACAGGATACCTCTGCTGGACGGTGTGTGGACCCTCTCTCCAGGCTTCTGCAGGCTGCAGGGTGCAGTCCAAGAAGTGTGGTGGAGAGGAACAGGGTCTTCCAGTGGCAGCCCAGAGGGGAATTCACAGACCTGTCTAGAAAGCAGCTCAGCTAGGCTAATGCCCAGAACTGGGAAATGAAGGTTCAGGGAGGGAAAGTGCTTGTTCGGGTTCACCCAGAAGTCCATGGCAGAATACAAAGTCAGAAAAATGCCTCATGACCTCACGGTTCAGCCTGGCTTCCCACTTTCCCTCCTCCCGGCTTAGGACTAGGTAGTGATTCCTCTTCTCAAGCCCTTGCTCTCCTACCAGGGCCCAACTCTCAGGAGTGTTCACGGAATGACTCACGAGTCTTGATTCAGCCTAGTTGCTGGTTGACATCTTAGAGCCAGCGTGCTCCCACGTTCCGTCTTTTAGGAGAGACAGGAGCATCCCCTCTCTTTCCGCCAACTCAGCTGGAGTGGACGCCAGGCAGGAAGTCACGCTGGAAACAAGGAGACCACTTACCTGTGAGGCCTTGGCTGGAGCACACCTTCTATGGGTTGGTGCTCTCGTGGTTTAGGCTGTGGTGGTGGTGTGTGCGAGCTGCAGGAGCTGGCAGTGCTGGCTGCTGCTCAAGGGGAGGAAGGAAATGATGAAAATAGCCTGTCTTATCCCCTAACTATAGCCCTGAGAGCCCGTCTCGGAGGCAGGAGGCGCCCAGGGTCCTAGGGCCTTGGACACAGAAATGCAGGCCAACCCTGCTTTAAGGGAGGAAACCACACACATTCAGTGTGGTGGGTCTGTGGACCAATCAAGGCGCCCTCTGCCTGGTACGAGGAGTTGGCTTCCTGGAGGAGAAGGGTGATGGGTGGCTGTCAGTTATCCTCCTTTATAAATGTGGGAGGTGGCCCTGGTGCTGCTAACCTCCCTAAGACGTGGTGGGGAGCACAGGGGCTGCCTGCTTATAGTCCTCCATCCCTCTGACGACGGTGAGGGAGGCTCCTTTCAGTCCACCGTGTCTTTAGCACCTGTTGGGCCCTTCTCCTGTTTCTAATAGAGATGCGGGTTTGCAGGGCTGAACCTCTCAGAGGCAGGGCCCAACTGCCACCAAAGAACAATATTTATCTCATATTTACTTTCATTGCTTCTTCCCATCACTGTACTGTGATGTCATTTTCCACTCCTGTTAGCAACTGTAATGTTTTCCTTACAAGATAAACGTGGTTTCAGTTTAATTAGTGTTTTTGATATTACAAGATATTAATCAAAATCAGGCCTAATGGTAAAATATGATCATTGTGCAATTAAAACTCAAATGTGAGCATTTTTAAAACAAATCATAAAAATCCCACAATTATGAATACTAACCAAGCCAGTTGATAGTTGGCAGATGACAGAGTTCATGAGCACAGAAGGGAGGGGGCCGGTGAAGCCTGGGCTCCTGGGACTGCGGGAGGAAGGATGGACCACCGAGAAGAGGAAGAGATCCCTGGATAACACCCTGTGGCCGTGGCTGGTGTTGGCCGAGATCAACAAACACAGTAGAAGGATCCTGCCTGAGGGTTTGGAGAGGTTCAGGCAGGTTAGGGCTGGAGAGGGCAACTGAGGCTAGGAGCAGCAGTGCCACCATCTAAGGTACCCTGGCTCCTGTCCAGCAGGGCAGCCGTCAGGCCAGCAGGGACAGAGGCTGCCAACATGTGCTGCTGCTTCCTAACCAGCCTTCATGGTGCAGAAGTTCTGCTGGCTGAAGTCAGGGCGGAGGCTGGCTGCTCCTCCTGCCCTTGCACAGGCTCCCACCTCCATCACCAGCCTCCCCGTACACAGACCTACCGACTTGGACGAGGGTGGGTCTTCCTCTAGGCTGTAGGGGCCATGTGTGCTCTTCACAGCATCTGTCCGCTTCTGCTTTCAGTACAGGGGCCGGATGTACACAGAATTCTCACTGGCTGAGCTCTGGTTCCCCAGGGCCAGCTAGGTGTCCCTGCCCCTGAGGTCATGCCTGCCTGGAGCCTATTTTCAAGTGCTCGTGAGGACTCAGTTCCTGGTTGGCGCCATCCTCTGTAGAGCCTTTCCTCTCTTTATGGCAGCGCCTTGGGCATCAGGAACCTTCACCATCCAGCCCGTCTTCAGGGCAGCTGGTTCCTGTGCTCATGGCCAGGCTTATGTGGCCCATGTCTCATCTATTTGGGATTCTAAGACTTCCTGATTTTTAGCAGGTAACAGTTATGGCAGTAGCAACAAGAAAAAACCATAAGCCTCCTCAAATGATTTATTTTTTCTTGAGGAAAAAAATCGTAATGTTCAAAAGACTAGGAAGAAGAAAATTAAAAATTTCTCCATTTCCAACATGAAATACAAATACCTTTGGGGGTTGGTGTTAGGGTTCAACTCAGCACAGAGTGCTTGCCTGTGCAAGGTGCTGCCTTTGGAGCCCCAGAGGCACACATATAACCACATAGAAGTTTTTTTTTTTTTCCCTTGGCAAAATAGGATCCTCCAGGGCCCATTCTCTCCTGGACTATCTGGTTTCCACTGTGACTAAACCCACATCCAGGGTATCTGTCAAGGAGGCTCATGGCTGTGTGGGTGTGGCTTCCTTAAGAAATCCTCTTATCTCCTTTGCACAGGGCCTTTGTGGTGCTGAGAGGATCACAGATGTTCCCTCCTCCCTGGGGCTCTGGAACTGTGGATGAGCACTGTTAAGATTACAAACAAGTATTGCTAAAAACTGTCAGAACTGTTGTTCAGCTTTTATAAGATGCCATAGTAAATATTCTTCTAATGTTCTTTACAAATTATAAAAGCTGTCAAGAGCTGTTAGGCCTTTACTCTTCTTTTCTTTTTGCCTTCTTTAAGACAGGTTTCTCTGTGTGGTCCTGGCTGTCCCGGAACTTGCTTTGTAGACCAGGCTGGCTTTGAATTTAGAGATCCACTCGCCTTTGCCTCCAGGGGTGTGGGCTTGATCTTGACAGTCTTGGGCTGAGGACTGTCACCCCCGTGGCTTAGCTCTGCTTTTGTGGTTGGCCTGGGCTGCTCTCACAGCAGTCCTGCTAAGCTGCACGCTGACTGAATGGATGCCACGAGGAAGCTGCAAGCAAGCACAGCCGCTTTCTGCCAAAACACAACTCCAGCTTTCACTAGTCCCTGTGAACTCTAGTAACCATTTTTACCCAGGTCAGAGAAAAAAACTGGCCTCAAACTCTCTGGGTAGTTGAGGAAGATCTCAAACTCCTGATCCTCTGGCGTCTACTTCTCAGTTGCTGGGATTATAGGCGTTCCCACTATGTCCTGCTCAAAGACGTAATTCTTATTTTTGTTCTCACCCCCCTCCTCTTATCCCTCTTCAGGATTACTTTGACTATTCTGGATCTTTTATAGCATTGTATATTTTTAACAACATTTCATGTTTATGAGTGTTTCGCCTGTATGTATGCCTGCACACCACATGCAGGAAGGGCCCACATAGTTCAAAGAGGATGTCAGGGCCGTGGAAATGGCGTTACAGATGGCTATGAGCCACCACGTGAATGCTGGAAAGCTAACCCTGTGGCCCCTGGGAGGGCAGCCAGTGTTCTTCTTCCGGCACAGTATTTTTGTTTTGAATAATTATCATTAACATATGGACTGTTACCTTTTTAACGCAGAGTAGTTTTTTTGTTATTATAGCAATATATAAAAATGTAACTAAATGTTTATAAACAAACTATATATGATGATTGATGGTATTATTTTAGGCTTGAGAGTAAACTTTTTTTTTGTTTTGCTTTGTTTTTTGAGACAGGGTTTCTTTGTGTAGCCCTGGCTAGCCTAGAACTCCATGTAGACCAGGTTGGCCTGGAATTTAACAGAACCCGAGTGCTGGGATTAAAGGGCTGGCGTCGTGCCAAGCTCGGGATTGGCACTATGCTCGACAGCATGCGCTCTTGACTGGTGAGCCACCTCCCCAGCCCGTTTATTTGATTTATTTTTTGAGACAAGGTTTCACGTAGCTCAAGCTGGCCTTGAACGTGCTGTATAGCCAAGGATGAGCCTGAGTTTCTGATTCTCCTGCCTCCACCCTCAAAGTGCAGGGATCCTCACTGTGCGTCGCTGTGCCTAGCTAAACAACTGGCACGTTCCACTTTACCTAAGATCTGTTTATAAAGGGCACGCATGAAGAGTTATCACCGTGTTGCTGTTTGCAGGGCACACAAGAGGGGGGACGACCTTGAAGCTGATGAATTTTTCACAACTGAGGTACAGTGGGGTCTGTCCAGCCGGTGCTGGAGGGATGGTGGTGAGCATGTGGGGTTTGCAGCCACAGTTCCTGCTGGTGGCGACGCACAGGCTGCCTTTACTTCCTGTGTGGTCCACCAGGAGGCACTCACAGCAAAACAATAGCACTAGCGTTACACACAGCGATTTGCTGTATTTACTACCAAAGTCAGCATGGTGAGAGCCGAGCCCTCAGCAGTCACCTGCTTCAAACCTCTGCAAAGACGTGGACCCTGATCGCAGAAGCTTAGTCCCTCACGCAGAGAGGAGGAAACTCTCATGGGGTGAAGAATAAACAGGTTATTGAAATTAAAGATTAAGTTTAAAAAATATGTAAATGCGTGCGTGTGTGTGAGGTGTCTGGTATGTACACACGTGAGTGTGGTTTTCTAGGCACACACTCAGAGGCCGGAGAAGGATGTTGAGTGCCCGGCTCTACAGCTTTCTGCCTTATTCCTTTGACACAGGATTTCTTACTGAACCCAGAGCTAGGCTGGCAGTTAGATGCCTGAGGGGCACCCCACCCTTGGTGGGGTTACGGCCAAGCCTGCCTTGTATGTGAGCTCTGGGGTCTGAACTCAGGTGCTGCAATTGCTCTTAGCCACAGAGCTTATTTGGCCTTTGTTCTGGATGCTGAGTTAATTTTTCCTGACGTTAGAATCAGCTTCACCAAACTTCCATTAAGGACTGAGGTTTTTATTTTTATTTTTTAAGCCAAGGCCTCGCTATGTAGCCCTGGCTGGCTTGGAACTCACTATGTGAATTGCCCAGTTGGCCTCCAACTCATAGAAATCTCTCTGTCCTGGCCTTCCAAGTGCAGGCATAAAAGTCATGTGCTACCATGGCTAGCTTCACTGCTGACTGAGGGCCTGAGGCTGTTCGGGAACCCTCCAGGCTTTTGGTGCCAGACCGAAACTGCTGAGACCCCCAGCGCTGTGGGCTGAGCAGCTGTGGGGTTCTCAGCTTTTCAGGTGCCAGTCAACTGTAAGCCGATTTAGCAAATTTTCTCTCTCTTATATAATATACATACATACATACATACATATCTATCTAATCTGTCTGTCTCTCTGTCTGTCCATCCATCCTTCCTATGTGTTTTGTTCCTGTAGAGAACCCTGACTGATATGGAAGCCCTCACTTAACCCACAACAACTCCTTCAAGCATCCTTCTAAACTACTTGGAAAGTTATGAGCAGTTCCAGGTCAGAGGTCTTCTATGCTTTTCCACGCTACCTTTTTTTTTGTAATTTTTTTTTTTTCAAATCTTCAACTTTACTTTTTTTCTTTTTCTTGAGACAGGGTTTCTCTACACAGCCCTGGATGTCCTAGAACTCTCTGTGTAGACCAGGCTGGCCTCTGTCTAACTCAGAGAGATCTGCCTGCTTCTGTCTCTGGAGTATTGGGATTAAAGGTGTGAACCACCATGCCTGTCTGAATCTTCACTGAATTCATCTATGAGTTGTAAAATCGCTTAAAATGCAATAGTTAGTATTATCCTTGTGTAAAACCACATTAACTACGTAGATAATTTAATGTCTTCCTTCCTGATTTGAATGCATTTCTTTCTTCTTCTTGCCTAAATGTTCTTGGTAAGACTTCCTGTACTATATTAAGCAGGAGGAAAAGATAGCTTTGTCAGCCTTAGAGGAAATGCTTCAGCTTGTTCCTGTTGGTGCTACATTGTCTGTGTGTTTCTTCTGTACCTAATTTGTTGAGAGTTTTTTTTTTTAATCATGAAGCAATGTTAAATTTTATCATTCTGCTGTATCTATTGAGATGATCTATATATGGGTTTGTCCTTTGTTGTGTAGAGTTGTATCGTGTTTCTTGGTTTGCATGTGCCAAACCGTCCTCGAATCTCTGGTAAACACACCATCTGATTGGGCACCCCCCCCCCCCTTTTAAGTGCTTCATTATGTAACCCAGGCTAGCCTCAAACTCTTCATCTTCCCTAACACTGAGATTCCAGGTGTGGGATAGCATAGCAGGCTGCATGGTCCTTTTGTGTATGTTTTATTAAGAGATTTTGCATCTTTGTTCCTTAGGGATACGATGTCACAGTTTTTATTTTTTTTCTTTTTTAAAAATCATTTTTGGGTTGGGGTATCAGAGTAATGCTAGCTTTGTGAGAAGAGCAGCAGAATTCATTCCATTTCCTTTTTTTTGGGGAGGGGGATTATCCTCATTGGAAAAATTAAGATTGTCTAAATGTTTCCTGGAAAGTTTGGATGGAAGAAATTTTAGTTCCAGCTTTGCTTTCTTTATTCCTTGCTGTTCTGGAGTTTATCCTTTTTTTTTTTTTTTTTTCGAGATAGGGTTTCTTTGTGTAACCTTGACTATCCTGGACTCACTTTGTAGACCAGGCTGCTCCCAAACTCAGAGATCCACCTGCCTCTGTCTCCCCAAGTACTGGGATCACAGGCCTGTGCCACCAAGCCTGGTTGAGTTTACCCATTTTTAAGAATGTACTTAATCGCTTTACAGCTTGATCCCAGGAGTTTATCCATTTCTTTTGGGTTTTCTAGGTTTTCAGGCCAAGCCAAGTCCTAGGAATCTCTGGGCTGGTCAGTGTCCTAACCTTGCAGTTGTTTGCTGCCTCTAGAAAGGTGAGGTAGGTGATCCCAGCACTTGGGAGGCAGAGACAGATGGATCTCTATGAGTTGGAGGCCAGCCTGGTCAACACAGTGAAACCCAATCATAAACAAACCTCTGCCAGTCTCACATTTGCTTTCTCAGGGATGTGATGTTTGCAAAGCTCCCACGTCCCAGGAGCCTGTGCCTTTCTCAGCAGCAAACGTGTTCAATTCAGAGAAAACTGCTGTACTAGGCACACCTGAAACCACAGAGCTTGGGAAGCTGGGGCAGGGGAATTGAGAGTTGAAGGTCATCTGAATCACAAAACAAAACCCACCTCAAAAAGCAAATCAGTGAAACATATAAACTTATACAGGTATAAGTTTAAAAATAGAGCAGGTTCTCAGTGTGTGTGGGGAGGAGGAATGACATGAGTCCTAAGGCCCCCTGGGGTTGAACCTGAGCTCACACCTCAGGCGGGGAGGGCTGGAAAGCTTGCCCTCTTTGCTTCTGTGCAGCACAGAGTTGTGCCCCACCTAGTGGCGACAGTGTACAGTTACTTTCGTTGTTTGGAGGGTGTTAAGGGGAGGAAAGCAATTTAAGGTCAGTGGAGTATTTTTGCCAGAAGGTGAAAGAAGGACATTGCTTAGAATTTCCCAGAAAACATTTTGAACGGGTTACAGACGGCTTAGTACCATTCCAAAATTCCAGACAAGCACTTCTAGAAAAGGAGTCAGAGCAGGGAACCGGGACATCTGCTCTCACCCAGTCGTGTGTGTGTGTTTTCCTGAACTGCTGTGGAAACCAGCGTTCGCCCTGTTTCTCCAGCTTATCCAATGTGCCGCCTTTCACTGGGTGTCTCAAGTTCTGGGTAAAATTTTTTTTTTCTGAATTTTGAAACAAATTCATCTTTGAATTGTGCTTTCTGAGTGGAGGGGCACTGGGTATGGGTGGGGTGGGCGTCTGGAGTCTCAGTGCACACATGGGTCCCTCATCTGTGACCTCCCCCCTCCCCGGCCCCTCCCCCTGCATCCTATCCCTGTCCCAGCTCCGCCCCGGTTTACTGTATCTGATGTGAACTAGAAGCATCAGGCCAGAGCAGGAGTGCACCATGCATTTCTCTTCTCCCGGTGTCTTCTGGCTCATGGGTGCCCCTCAGCTGGCTTCACGTCTCTAACATGTCAGGCCTCCCTCCCCACCACGTTAATGAAGCGTAAGCTTATCATGGGGAATGTGTTTGTTACCTACCACTGTGTACATAACACTACACCCTGAAGAAACAGCAGCTTCACGGCACCATTCGTTTGCTCTTATTGGTGGGCTTTGCAGGTCAGCAAGGCCTGTCTTTGCCGGAGAGTTCTAGAGAGCTGCAGTCAGGATCTCAGCAGGGCTGGGGTTGTCAGCGCTGGAAGGGTTGGCTGGGGCTGTGGAGTTGCTTCAGAGATGTGTGCCCGAGCTGATGGCTGGAGCCCTCGGTTCCTTGCTGGCTATGACTCAAGGCCCTCTGGAGAGCGCTGCCTGCATGTACTCAGGACGCTGTAGTGCTCATCTTTTAAATTAATTAATTCAGTTCACATCTTAATCGAAGGTCCCTCCCTCCTCTCCTCCCAGTCCACACTCCCTCCTGCATTCCTCCTCCCCTCTTCAGAACAGGAAAGCCCTGCGACCCAGACACCCCAGCTCTTTTCTTCCCATGAGGACTGAGTTTGTCTTCCTCCCCTGTGGCCTTGTAGGGAAGTCCCACCAGAAGGAAGTGGTCAGAAAGCATCACTCATTTTAAAAGCTCTCCTTTGTTTGGGGTGTTTGGGCCTCAACCTCCCAACCCTATGCAGGGAAGGTTAGTGGGGAGAGAGGGCCCCTTTACTTCTCCCAGCTGTTTAGGGCCAAGGGGCTCTTTTAGGGCTCTATACCAATCTCCGTCAACTGTAGATGCAGCCAGCAGCTCCTCCAAGCTGTTGAGCCCCGAAGAGTTTCTCTCCATCTGTCTGCTCCAAACTGCCACACTGTCTCTGCTCTCTGGTCTCCCCAAACTGCTGTACTCTACACGCCAACACCACATGGCCCTTCGCTTCCTCGGCTCTCATATTTATACTCTCAGAGTCCTAGACCACACCCCTCTCTGTGCCACACGTAGAAAGCCGTTACCAGCTGGCAAAGATCACACCCCGAATGGGCCAGTTAACAGGTGTGGACTATGACTCTACTAAAATCCCACACTTGGGATCAAAACAAAAACACATTTACATAACATACAAAAAACCCCCAAAACTTTCCTTACAGGACACAGTGGCCAAGAGAGCAAGGAAGGCACCACCAAGCCTTATGGCTGAGTCTGGGTTCCCATCAGCACCTCCCACTGCACTCTGCTTGTCAAATATGGCTCACACCTGACAGTCTTGCTCAAAGAAAGGAATTAGGTATTTCATTCTAGAGGAAGAGTGCCAAAGGCTTTGTGGATATGTTAAAAAGAGCCTCCCCCTCTCTGCCAGGATGGAACCTGGGACTTATTCGAACCAGGTACCTGTCACTGAGATCAAGAAATCAATAATTACAAGAAATCAAGAATTACTCAAATAATTACAAGGCCTCTATCAAGAAGACAGCGGTTTTCAGATGGGGTCTCAGGACTGAGAGGGTGAAGTCCACATGAGTTCCACACTTAACCAAGAAGCTATATGCAATTAGCACCCAGATGCAAAGGGAAATTTAATTTTCTCCAGAAGACTCTCACTGGGGATATTAACTACACTTCAGAGGAGGCCCCTTGCCCAGCAGTAGATGGCTAGAACCAAACTCAATGGTATTTTTGCAGAGTTTTTTTTTTCTTTGTTGTTGTTGTTCTTGTCGTATCGTCCTTTTGCCCGCATATTTTGGTTTTCATATTTTTTTTGGTTTGTATTTCTTGATTTTTTGTTATTTTGTTTTATTTGATTATTTTTGAAAAAGAGAAAGAAAGGGCATGAATTTGGGCTGGGGAAGACCTGGGAGGAGTTGAGGGAGGGGAAAAGCATGATCCGAATATACTGTATACATTTTTTTTCAAAGAAATCCTAGATTTTTTTTTTTAAATCCTATATTTTCACATTAAAAAATACTTTTAGAGTGCTTAATAGAACTTTGGTTAACCGATAAAATTAGTTTATACAATGCTGTAACAAGTAAGTTAATGTAGTTACAAGTGAAAAAGATTAATAAATTCATTTAACTTCTTTTCTAAGACATAGTTAGTATAAACTCCAACCATTACTTTGGTTTTGTGTATGAAAAATAGGAAACACTGGCTTTATTTTTCTAAGTTACCGAATGTGAAATTATTCTGTATCACCTTATTTAGAGAAGTAATGCTATTTTGGTGTTATTTTGTGTTTTTTAGACTTTCTACATTCTTTATCTGGCATTATTTATTGCACCAACATGGAAAATATAAGTGTGCAAATGAGTATGGCTACTTCATTTCACCTGCTTTGAAACTTCAGTCACTTAATGACCACACAGAGATGCCTACTTACTCATTTATCAAACCTCAGGCCTGGTATGCTCTCAGAAATGCATGGTATGTAAAATAATTGAAAAATACAAATTAATCTTTGGCTATATGTTATATTATCACATATACACGGAAAACCTTGAAACTCTCTGCTGTTTCTAGCCTCAGCACTTCCTGGGATGTGGGAAATTCGCCAGTGATCAGGTGTGTCCTGGGGGCTGGCCTGGGCTTACTCCGCAGGCTGGTGGAGGAGGACAGCGCTGGGGCTGGGGGCATCTCATGATAGAATCTCTATCTAAGGTGGAGATTCCGGAGTGTGCTATGTACTGTGTTCAGGAAAGGGCAGTAGCTTCAGGTTCAGGCTGGTCTAGCAACTGCAGGGTTCCCATGTGGGGGCTCTGAGAGAATGTGAGAGGCCTAAGGGAGGGGTAGCTGTCAGACCCAGTTTCGGAAGGAGCCTTGGCTGCCAGAGTTCTGAAGGAGTGAGAACAGTCAGTTTGTGGAGAGTGTTCAGACCGCAGAAGACAGTCCAACAGTGGTCAGGGGGGCCACAGAGGCTGGACTCATGGTGGTCTAGTTAACCATGGCAGCTGGTGGTCAGGGTGACCATGGCGGCTGGTCCAGTGACTGCCAACATTAGCCTCATGGTGGTCAGGTTGACCATGGAGGCTACTCTAGTTGTGGTCAAAGCTGGATTGACGATGGCTAGAATGACCATGGTGGCCCAAGGCTGGGCCGATGGGCTCAGCAGGAGATGAGGAAGGGGTTCGTGTGTGCAGGAGCTGTGGGTGCTGGTGCTGAGGGATTTCTCTGCAGGAGCTCACAGCCGACCAAGGCTTGGTGTAAGGCGTCCAGTATGGCCAAGATGCCATGTGTACCTTCTGAAGAGAAGCGAAAGGCAGAAAGGAGTCAGGGTGGATTTCTTCTTCACAGTGTCACTTCTCTCTTCCAGGTGGCTTGCCCATCACCTGCCCTGTATCACTGCCCAGCCCTGCCCAGCATTGCTCCTATGCCCCTTTCTAACTCCTGGTCCAACGGTTCTCAACCTGTGTTGATCCCTATTAGATACCTATTAGTATATCAGATAGTTCCACTGCGATTCGTTAGAGTAGCAAAATTGCGGTTATAGAGTAACAATGAAGTAATTCTATGGCTGGGGGTCAGCACAACGTGAGGCACTGCATTAAAGGGCCGCAGCGGCAGGAAGGTAGAGGACCGCTGGGCCACTGCCCTAGATACTCCCTGTCTTTGCTGACAATGGTTGTTTAAGTTTCTGTCAGTAAGTGAAGGGCCACCTATCAGGCTCCCGTGAGGCCGTGCAGGGCAGGGTCAGCTGCAGGGGACACAGTTGATGAAGCTCTGATGCTCTCAGCTTTGCCCGAGCAGCAGGGGCCACAGGGCCTGGAGCTTTAGGTGAACCCCAGGCACTTGCTGAGCTAGTTCTCGACTGTGTGAGGCCTCCTTTCTTAGAGGTCAGCTGTCAGAGTTGGGGCGTTTTAAACACAGAGGTGCTCTCCCGGTCCTGGCCCATACTAAGCTCAGTGAGCAGTGCCAGTCTGACTTGCCAGCAGGCAAACCCAGCCTTGTCTGCTGTGCCCAGGCTGTCTTCTGGTTGCCACACACTGCCTGTGACCTCTGCAGCTCTGTTCCTTTTAAATAGTACTGGGCTGCTTTCTGAAGTCTGTTCTGACTGTGGCCTGCAGGCATTCGGGGTGGGAACAGAGTGGCTGTCCCGCAGACAAGAGCTTAGAACAGAGCTGGAGTTTCTGGTTGGGATGCCCTACAGCCGCCATTCATTCTCTGTGAGGCACCCTTGCCTACCCTGTGAGGGGTTCCGGTCCAGGGCGTTCAGCACAATCTTCCCCAGGGCTCGTTTTGATATGTTCTTCGGGAGAGATGAGAGAGGCAGGATCAGATTGTGGCTGCTGGGTCCCCACTCCTCAGGCGGAGTGTAGGGACTCCCAGAGGCTTCTGTGAAGCTCCTGGGGGCAGGGACAGCAGCCGAACGTCTGCTCTCTGTGCTCCTCTTTATGCCTTCTTGTCCCCATCCTCCCTTCCTGGCCCCATCCTCCCTTTTTGACCCTCCTGCCCTTCCTTATTGCCCCTTCCGTCATCTCTTCCTGTCCCCACTCTCCATTCCTGCCTACCCATCCTCCTTTCTAGTTCTCTCATCTTGTCTTCCTACCTTGTACTCCCTCCCTGGCCACAGTGGTTTCTCAGAGACCAGGCTCCATTCCACCAAAGACCAGGACAGATGCACCTGGGGGAAACGGTGACTAAGTATTCTCTTCTGTTTGTTTGTTTTCTGACAGGGTTTTCTGTTTAACAGAGCCCTGGCTGTCCTGGACTTGCTTTGTAGCCCAGGCTGGCCTGGAACTCACAGAGAGCCACCTGCCTCTGCCTCCTGAGTGCTGGGATTAAAGGCGTGCCACCATGCCCACTGGTGACTGAGTATTCTTAAGCACTTGTTTGTCTGAACCCCCGAACAAGTCATTGATTGCACTGGAAAAGCAGCACGGAAAGGAAGAGCCAGAAAGAAGGTAGCCACGCCTGTAATCCTAGCACTCAGGAGGGGGAAGCAGGACCAAGATTGCCAGGCTAGCCTGGGCTATATAGCGAAACCCTCTCTTAAAAACAAGCAGCTAAAACAAAACAAAGGAAGCACTGCCACACCTTGCTGTCCCCAGGGCTGGCCTGGGCCTCAGCTAGCCTCGGGCTCATCCCCAGCTCTGTCTGCCTGCTGTGTAATACTGGGCCAGACCTGTGCAGCCCACGTCTCAGGCAGCCTGATGCACAGCAAAAAGAGCCCTCAGAACCCTGGAGACAAGGGTTTCTAGCCTGTTTGCACCCCGCACAGACAGTTTTAAACTGCCTAAACTGTTCAGTTGTTAGGTCAATGATTCCCTCCTGAGGCCACCGAGGGGTGGGTTATGGTGACAGATTACAAGGATGTGAAATCACCTTTAATCTTAGGGTAATCCACACGGCCAGTTTTCAGTTCTTTAAATACTGGATTTGCTTGCTAGTAGGTTTATTTTAGTTTATTTACTTAATATTATTGAGACAGGGTTTCACTGTGTGGCTCTGGCTGGCCTTGAACTCTCAGAGGTCCACCTGTCTCTACCTCCCAAGAGCCTAGATTAAAAGCCTGTTTGTTGTTTTGTTGTTGTTGTTCTGTTTTACTTTTGGTTGTTGTTGTTTTGTTTTAATTTAAATTGAGGTAGAGTGTGCTTGGCTGGAGTGGCAATCCTCCTGCCTCAGGCTCTCCAGTGCTGAGATTACAGGTACCACAGTGCCAAGTCTGTCAGTCTTTAATAATTTAAGATATTTTTATCTTAAACACCATGTTGTTAAATTTTGTGTGTGTGTGGTGTTTTGCTTGTGTCTATGTGTGTGTGTGTGCTGCATGACTACAGAGGCCATGAGAAGGGGCTGACTCTCTTGGATCTGGAGTTACAGTTGGTTGTGAGCTGCCATAGAGGTTCTGGGAATTGAACCCTGGTCCTCTGCCAGTACAGCGAGTGATCTTTTGTTGTTACTTTTGCTTTTTTGAGGCAAAGTCTCTCTACACAGTGCTGGCTGTCCGGAAATGTGCAGTGAGTGTTCTTAACCCCTGGGGTATCTCCCCAGCACTGCGGCCATGTTTAAAAGACATGTTAGTTTAAATTCTTTCTTGTATTCATCCTTGTTTGGTTTTCAAAAGAGTTTATTTATTTAGTTATTGTATTCATGTGCATATGTGTGAGCATGTGTGCCATGGCTGGTCTTCTTCACCTCTTCCCTGGTTCTGGGAATAGAACTCAGGTGGCCAGGCTTATACAGCGAATGGCTTTACCTGACGAGCCTTCTTGCTAGCCAGCTCTAGGCTATGATCACAGTTACATCAGTCTCCTAAAACAATCTGGAATGTTCCCTCTTCTCTAGGTGGCTTAGAGAAGGTGGCCAGAGGGCCACCATTCTATATCTGTCAGTGGAGGCCCTGCTGACTATAGGAACCAGAGCCCTGGGCCTGCCACACCAGCCTCCTGTCACCTTCAGCCTCAGCCTCTCTGGCTCCCCTGCTCCAGCTCACCCCTCCCCCACCATTCCCTTTAGGATCCCCCGTGTTCCAACCAGGTCCCGGAGCCTTTGCAGGAGTTGTAGCACATCCACCAGCTTCTCCTCCAGCAGCGACAGCCGTACCCGCTCTGTCTCCACCATCTGCAGCTCCAGCCTCAGATGTTCACTCTCCATCATTTGCTGTGGTTCCTCCTGGGGGAACGGGGCTCAGTATAGTCCCTACACCCCCTCCCTGTGATAGGCAGCCATGCAGATAGCCTCCCTGAGGCCAGGGAAGCTAAGTGCCGGCTCCAGACTGCACAGTGGGCAGGACAGCGAGCACACACACACATTTTGCTCTCTAGTCTAATGACTCCATTCTCTCTTTTCCTTTCTACCTCTTGGTTTCTTTTCTTCTTTGATGGATCTGTGTTGGCAGTAGAAACCCATATGACTGGCTTACACAGAAGGAACATACTTCAGGTTAGGGTCCCTGACTGAAAGGACATTTGAGGCATCTGTCCACCTTCCCTCGGCAGTGTGACCGGGAGTGCTACCTGGAGCCCAGCGTGGACGACAGGGGAAAGGTCTTATACTCACGTCCTAAATCAGGCATGTGATGTGACAGGCATCCCTTAGTACCAGGGTGCTCAGGATTCCCTCTGGCTTTGGGCAGGAGTAAAAAAGTTCCACAGTAGGCAGGACTAGGGGCTAACCCGTTCTGGGGCTTTCCTGCTTCATCACCTTGACATTTACTTAGAAAAGTAACAGCTGTGTCTTTCCCTGGGTGCTCCCTGACTACCAGTTCAAGCCTCACATCTCTCGGCGGCCCTTCCCTGAGGACAGCAGCTCTCTCCTTCAGGGGAGATCCCGGGTAGCAGGATCTTAGGGAAACGCACTGGGGTGAGAATAGAGATGCAGCCTGAAACACGGCAGATGAGCCTAGAATCCCAGGGGACTTGACCAGGCAGCAGCAATTGGAGCTGAGTTGTCTAGAGCTCACTACCCACACCCACACACAATTGACACATGCACACAGGCACTGTTACAAGTGTGGAAACCGAGGCATGGAGATGCTGAAGAATCCTGACAAGGTCACACAGGTACTGCAGCTGGGACAGAAGCCGGGCAGCCTGCTCTAGTGTGTACTGTGGGGCTCTGCTCTGACCTGGGACTTTTCACTCCTGTGGCTTAGCTTCCACCCATGGCCCAGAGTACACGGAGGAGATCCTGCGGGCAGAGCCGTACGGTGACAGGGAAGCCTGGATGTCATGTGTCCGGGGAGAAGTCAGGAGGGACTTCACCTTTGTCTACCTTGGTCCTTACAAAAAACACATGACCTGTAGGAACCTGGTGTTTGCCGTTACTCATCAGCCACTTCCCTGTCCTTTCTCACTGGAACATGACTAGTCCTGTTTTCATTGAACACTCACCGCTCAGTGGCTGAATCTAGCCTGGTTCTAGTATCACAGACAGAGACCGAGACCTTTAAATTAAATTCTTAAAACTCCATCCTTGATGATCCCTAGATTTTTCAGTCTGTGACTCAGGCTGAGGTTTCAGAGAGGAAACCACACCTCCTGAGTTCCGTTCACACCTCTGTGACAGCAAGTCCCTCCAGCTGTGCGACCTGGGATCTTAGGGCCCTGCTGACCTCCTCCTCCGGTGTCCCCAGGGTCTCTGTGCTGCAGCCCAGGGTCTGCAGCTGCTCCCCGAGCCTGGTGACATGGGTCTCTAGCTCTAGGGCGCAGATGTTCTCAGCTCCGTCACAGCGGCCAAAGGCAGCCTTGGCCTTCTGGGCTGTCTGGTCGTCACACCTGCAGGAAAGGGGAGACCATGACTGCAGGGACCCCCTCCCCTCCCCAGCTGTCCTGCTACTCTAGTCTTCCCAAGCAGATGTCATGGAGCCTGCCTGCTCAGCATTTGCTATGGCTCTTTGGCTTCTCAGAGGAACAGCCCGAGGTGTCCCCCACAACCTTCCTAACACCCTCTCACCCACTTCACTCAACCTGCCCCAAGCCAAGGGACTCCCCAGACCCTCCATCATGGCCCAGAGCCTGTGTCTGCTGCTCCTTCCTGGACCGTTCTCACGCCAAATTGCCTCCATGTCTCCTCGCACCTACCTTGTCTTCCTTTCTTTCCTCCCTAGAGGGTCCAGGACAACAGGGCAGCCATCTGTTTATTGTTTTGTCAGTGCCTCTAATTATTTTGCGTGGCGCACAGGCAGGTAGAGAACAAGTGCTAAGTACGAATACAAACGATGGGGGACACAGCCACCCCAGAAAGCCAGCCACACTCTACAGTGTTTTTAATGGTGCTGTCCCTGAAGGCATCATCTTACACCCTGGCCCTAAGTCCTCATGAAGACAGCACTAAAGGCCCATCTTCCTCTTTGAAACAAGGAGACTGGAGCCCAGAAAAGAACAGGCAATCTGAGATACCCCCGGAGACTGAGCCCATTTTCATTATCCTCTAAGATGGTACAAGGATGATACCAGTGGGTACCTGAGAAAAAAAAAACCAGCCCAGGGCCAGGCTGGGGAAGAGGAGGGCTTTGAACGGTGTTGTAGGAAGTGATGGATATCTCAAAAGTGACAGGGATGAAGCTGGTCATGGGACAGCAATCAAGAGAGTGATGGCTGGTGGGAACTAAATTCACCCATGCTCTTGAGGGTCTTTCCATTTCATCCTTGCAGTTGGTGGGATGTTTTCTGTTTCTGAGCTCTGACTACCAGGATGGTCTGTCAGGGGCCAAGTGTGGCTGTGCTCTAGAATTGTCAGCTTCTCATGTTGACGTATGTGTGAAGGGCCTGCAAGGTGAAGCTGCCTTTCTGGGGCTCTGTGCATTTTGATTTCCCCTGGCAGCCCTGGGCTATCCAGGCACTTACCTACTCAGGTAGCCTGGAGGTTGCCTCAGGGATACCTCGACATGGGCCGGTGGGGGCCTTGACCTTTCCTGCCACCTCTCTTCCTCCTCTTCCTCAGAGGCAGCCTGGCCTTCCACAGAGCGGAACAGCTGCTCAGCCTCTGCTGGGAAAACATATCAACTAGGGACTGGAGACCCAGTGTCAGGACCATCCAGCCCTCTTCAGGACACATGAAATGCGGCACTGGTGACACTGGGACAATGTCCCCTTCCTGTTACTGACCCAGTCCCCGGGAGAACTGCATGAGATCCCTGAGACACAGCTCTGCTTCCTTCTGCTTCCTTAGGTGACACATGAGAACCCATTTCTGGTGTCATAGTTGAGCATCAGTTCTACTTCAGGATATGTGACCTGGATTGGGGAAGTGGATAGGGCTTTGTGGGGTGTTGGTATTAGGTCAGAAAGACTTTCAGTTCGCAGTTTGGGGGGGGGCTGTAGAAGAAGAGGTATCCAATATGTGGCCTGTGGTCCCCACCTCTGCTGAGCCTTGATGAACCCGTCCTGTCTGGAGTGGGTGATGGCAGCTTTCCTGACCTACTGCCCAGCCAAAGTCCTTGTCCCCAGGAGCAGACCAGGGTCTACTACAGACCCTTTTCTCCTCCACCCGTTGGGCTGTGCCAATCAGAGAAGTCCCCTCCAGCCACAGTGAAGGTTCCAGAAGACCTGGGAACCCTCAGAAGACACTGTAGGAATCAGTGACGAGTATGACCAATGGTCAGATGAGGGCTGACGTTCCAGTTCTGGGCTCAGGGACCAGGATGTGGGCTGGAGCCAGAGAGGGAATGTCTGCTGAGACTAAGCTCAGGGTAGGGGGAACAGGCCTGGCACTGGAGGTGGCCACAGATCTATGGACTCAAGTTATGAGAGCCCATACTTTCCTTTTAACCTGAAAAATTTGTGCTGCCTGGTATGACACACAGACTTCCCTACTTGAAGCGGTATTTAAAACCAAAATGTGACCTTATCTTACGGGGGAGCTGGGAAGCCCTGCTGACCAGCATCAGGGAGCTCTGGCTCTGGCCTGCCATTGCCTTCACCTGGTGTCCCCCATGGGTTCTCAGGGCCCCACTGTCTGGTTGGGCCATACAGAACCTCTGTGAGGACTTTCATGACGGTGTTCCTAATATTGACAGCATATTTCCCTCCCTTGACTCCTCCTCCCCTGTCCCTCATCTGCATTGTCCTGGTGCGGGAGGCAGGAGGGGCTAGCGGAAGGGCTCAGAGACCGAGAGTGAGGGATGGAGACCCAGTAGGTGGCACACTAGGGAGGTGAGCAGCCTAATTCCCAAGGTCGGGTTCTTGTGGAGACACCAGAAGATAATCTTTTGAGGTCCTGGAAGCCAGCCTGAGTATCAGGGTAGCATTTTGTCTGGAGGCTGAAGGTGGCTCTCGTGCTTTAGCCTCTGAGAACAGGGATGAGGCATGGCCTCCCTGACCGTGGGCCCGGCAGCAGGCTGTATGTGGGGACTGACCTTCATCTGTGTCTCTGCTCCTTAAGCTGGTCTCTGAGCGCTGGGATCCCTCCGGAGTGGTGTGCCCATCTTTGGTTCCTCTAGCTGTAGGTTCACCATTCCTGTTTCCTAGCTGTGGACTGGCTTGTTGGGGCTTTAGGAGCTGAGGTCCTTCTGACCTGTGGATAGGGAAGAGATGTGTTTTGAGACATGGGGCCACCTCACCCATCTCTTATTCTGCACAGGTAAGCCATCTTGGTCTACCACCATTGTCCTGGCAAAGTCAGTCTCCCATACACCAGAAAGAATGGGAAGATAGGTCCCAGTTTTCTTGGCCAATAGGGAACAGACGTGAAACGCAATTTTAGAGCATGGGATGCAGGCACTGAGACAGATTTCCTCCTGTATAATAACCACAAGAAAGGAGGTGCCCTTTCTGCTTTTGGACACAGCCGTGTGGTGATGCTGACCTCGGGTTGAGGCAGTCATATTGTGACCATGGGCGAGTGTCTGAGAGAACGCTCCAGTGGCTGGGGAAGAGACTCAGCATCTTTAGAGACTGAGCTAACAGGTCCTGCAGCTGCCTGATTCTGGACCTAACAGAGCTGACATAAAAAGATTTATTTTTATTTTATGTCTACGAATGTTTTGCCTGCATCTATAGCTGTGTACCACATGGATTCCTGTGCCCAGGCAAGCCAGAAGAGGGCATAGAAGCCCCTGAAGCTGGAGTTACAAGTAGTTATAAACCACCCTGTGGGGCCTGGGAACTGAACCTGGGTCCTCTGCAAGAGCAGCCAGTGCGCCTAATGCCGCACCATCTCTCTAGTGCCAGAGAAACTTTTCAAAATTAATTTGTTTCTGGATATTCTGCCGGCACACATGTCTGCAGACCACATGTGCACCGTGTGGGGACTGGGAACTGAGCCTGATTCCTCTGGAGAGCAGCCAGTGCTCTCAAAGGCTGAGACGGCCCCCAAGTCCTAGGTGGGTGATGGTGGCACACACCTTTAATCCCAGCACTCAGGGAGGCAGAGGCAGGGGGATCTCTGAGTTTCAGGTCAGCTTGGTCTACAGAATGAGTTCCAGGACAGCCAGGGCTACACAGAGAAACCTTGTCTCAAAAAAAATAAAGAACAACAAAAAAATTTTTTTTACATGTTTCATTGTTTTTTTTTATTTTATTTTATTTTTAAGAGATAGTCTTGCTCCACAAGGAGCAAATATATCTGGGCACAGGGGTCTTTTCTGAGACTGACACTCCACCAAGGACCATGTATGGATATAACCTAGAACCTCTGCTTGGATGAAGCCTGTGGTAGCTCAGTAACCAATTGGTTTTTCCATAGTAAGGGGTACAGGGACTATTTCTGACAGGAACTCAATGGCAGGCTCTTTGACCTCCCCACCCCCCAAGGGAGAAGCAGTCCTGCTAGGCCACAGCAGAGGACTTTGCAGCCAGTCCTGAAGATACCTGATAAAACAGGGTCAGACGAAAGGGGAGGAGGTCCTCCCCTATCAGTGGACTTGGAAAGGGGCAGGGAGGAGATGAGGGAGGAGGGTGGGATTGGGAGGGAATGAGGGAATGGGATACAGCTGATACAGAGTTAATAAAAGGTAACTAATAATAAAAAAAATAAAAAATTAAAAAAAAAGAGACAGTCTTGCTATTGTAGTCCATATTGGGATTACAGGCACATGCTACCATGCCCAGATAGACTCACAGACTTTTTTCTTTTTCCACCATGCTCTCACAATTATTTATTTATTTGTTTGTTTGTTTATTTATTTACTATGTATTCAGTGTTCACCCTTTTCTGGCACGCATGTGTACATGCTGACAGAACACTGACAGAATACATACTTTTAATTACTTTCTATTTCTTGGCCAACAAAAGCCTTTAACTGAGGAATCTCCCCTCTCTGTTTTTCTTTCCCAACAGTGTTTTGAACATTTGTTTTCCATGTCCCCATGGTTTTACAAGGTCAGATAGTAGAGGAAAAAAAGTTCTGGCATAAAATAAACATGTTTATTAATGAGCTGGCAGCTCTTATTAAGCAGAGACGCCCCTGTGTCCCACTAACTTCTTCAGCATGCCAACACTGTCATGCCAGCATTTCTGTCACAGCCCAAGACTGCAGCTGTTAGTTTCTTCTCTTGTTGCTGTGACAGAAGAGCTAGCAGGAGCGGCTCACAGGATGATGCATTTTGCCTCAGCAGTTGAGGAGCTACAGTTCGACCTGGAGAGGGGAGAGGAGGGCGCCTCGGGGCTGCTGTGTTGGTGGGGGTGTGAGGCAACTGTCTTGTGTCTCATGGACCAGGAAGCAGCACCTGGGAAGGAAAGGGGCTGGGCCACACCCCAGAATTCCTGTTCCTACTGTTGTGGTAAAACACCATGACTGAAAGCAACTTGGGGAGGAAACGGTTTGTTTCAACTCACAGCTTGGAGTCCTTCATCCAGAGAAGTCAGGGCAGGAGCTCCAGGCAGGAACCTGGAAGCAGGAGCTGATGCAGAGGCCACGGAGGAGTGCTGCTTACTCACTGGCTCATCATGACTTGCTCAGCCTGCCCCCCCCCACCCCTTTTTGGTTTTTCTGAGACAGGGTTTCTCTGTGTAGCCTTGGCTGTCCTGGACTAACTATATAGACCAGGCTGGCCTCGAACTCACAGAGATGTGCCTGCCTCTGACTCGCTGAGTTTGGGGATTATAGGGGTGCACTTCCATGCCCAGCTTCAGCCTATTTTCTTACATCACTCAGGATCATCTGCCCAGGTGTGGCACCACCCACAATGACTTGGACCCTCCCACATCAATTGTTACGTAAGAGTGTGCAGCATAGGCTTGTAACAGGCAAAGCTGGTGAGGACATTTTCTCAGCTGAGATTCCCTCTTCACAAACTACTCTAGTCATGTCAAGTTGACCCAGAACCAGAGATCACACCTACACACCTCCGCATCACATGCTAATGTCTTCACCTCCCTCAAGTCCCATAACCTCTGAGACATCTGAGGACTGCGTCATGAGTCTGTGGGGACATTTCACATTTCAACCACACCAATCAGTAATGCTTCAGAGAAGGCCTCACCGAAGGGAAAGGAGGCCCTGGAGGGACACAGCGTAGCCATTGTTGGCTTCAGGGGACTATAGGCCACATACATGGATGTGGGAAGAGGTCATGGTGATGGAGTAAGGTAAGGACAAACTTTGGACTTTTCCAAGAACCTCAGGATGGGCACAGAGGCAGAACCCTTTTCTGCGGGTCCCATGTGGCTCTTGCCTGCTAACTTGGGTTTAACTGAGTCCTCCATGGTTGACACAGCTGCACGTCCCCGTGTTAAGACACTAAGAGACACGCTGTACTTCCCTGGCCTGTGTTCTCTTGGGGACCCCTACTTCACTGGGTACCACTCTCTTTTGGGATCCTCAGTGGAGTGAGGGTGTTTCTGGGGGACACCAGGATGCCTGTGGCCTTGTTGGAGCCTCCCCAGTGGCTAGATGGACCAGGGAAATGAGCTCTACTCTGGAGACCCAAATCCTCTGTGTGGCTGGCTGTCCCCTCCAGCTGGCCACAGCCACACCCCTCCTGGAAGTCCAGTGAGCCTCTGATAGCTTCCATGTTGCAGTTCATGGCTACATCTGGCTTAAACAGTCTGACCGGAGCCAGATGTTGCAGTTTCTCCCTTCTATCCTAGAAGCTCCCAGCTTCCTCTGACAGACTGCCCCCTTCTTGGTTCTGTGATGCCAAGAGGCCGCAGAAGCTGCCAGTATCCTGCAGGACCATGGCTTTGCTGTGCCAACCCTGCAGCTCTCATATCCCCATCCCCTGAGCTGCCTCATTTCATTTTCCCACTTGTTTACCAGTGAACAATGATGGGGCCCTACCCAGGGTTGGACATTTGGGGGGGCGGTCCTATGATGAAATGAGATAACGGAGTGCCTGCCTTCACTAATGTTTGGGGTGAATTTAGGGGGCATCCAGATGAACAGGGAGACTGCATATGCAGCTAAGCATCTACTTCAATGCCTCCTAAAAATAGCGAGCACGATTTTATTATCATTTAAATTTTATAACAGTAACATGGCTTCCTTTTTAGAATAACTTAAGC